ACATTGCAGAGATTTTTGATTAAGAAAGATTATGAAAGCAAACACTTTTTGTCTATATAATAACGTGCACTGATGAATCATACACAGTAAGACTATTGGGACATGTATATGGCAAGTCAATAGGGTCTGTTTCATGTCATCTTCAAAGCATACAGACAGACTGAGTGATGAGTCACCAGCATACTGATTTTAGTAAGGGCAAAATGCCTTGAAAAATGTTGTTTAGGATGATAGTCTTTTATTAATTACTGCTAAAATGTGTAAAATGGGAGTGGAGGGAATATTTCAAGGCTTTAGACTTTCAAAAGTCACACATGACCTTTTATAAACTGCAGAGACCCTGGAGTGAAGCTTAATGATAAAGAAAATAAATCTTAATTCTACTTATTTGTCATTAAATATGGCTTAAACCTACATATAACAGCAGTCTATTTGTTATTTAATTAAAATATAATTTAGTTAAATATTAAATAAATGTTATATTCAATTTTAAGTAATTATTCAAATATTAAATCATTTAAATTAAATATTTAATTAAAAATATTGATTTAATTAATTTTGGATCAAATTTAGCAGCCTTCCAAATAAACATTTGATGTGTGGCCAAACAATATGAACTACTTTAAATATGATTTTTCTCACTGTTCCAGAAATACAAGATTATGTTGCAGGTCAGTTTGATGCATTTTTGTTGTTGGAAATACTGGTTAACCAGTGATGTTTTTTTTTTTTGTGACTTTTTCTTTCTTAAGTTCATGAAAATGCTAAATTTCTATTACATACCAAATTTCTGTTACGTTTATGATGTGTGTGGGTCAATATGAACCTCATATTTCATCATTAAAGATTTTTGATGTATTTTATGTCAGATTCTCTCAGCTGCCCTCTGAAGGAATTTACATTTAAGCATTCAACAGATGTTTTTCCTGTCAAAACTTACACTGCATTGAAGGCATACTTTTTTTATCAGTTCACGCATGTCTGTGATGCACACTGATGAAGTGCTTTTCCACAATTTTTCTAATCAAAATATTAAAATGTTTTTGTTTTTTTAAATGTTAAGAAATAGTTACAATATTTACTTTATAATATACTTTATAATATTCACAGCACAATATTATAATATTCATTAGCATTTTTATATTTTGAATTATTAATGTTTATATAGCTTATATTATTTTTCTTTAGTAAAAATATAATATTTAGTATATATAGAGAGTGTGTGTGTGTGTGTGAGAGAGAGAGTGTGTATGTATATATATATATATATATATATATATATATATATAATTTTACTTCAGCTACATTTATTTTATTTCATGTAACAAAATGGCTTTACTTAAAGGTGCAATAGGAGATCTTGGAAAATGCTAACTTTAGCCTGATAGCACTGAAAGCGAACGTCCCACCCTCCCTGCAATCGCCGTCCAAAGCCACGCCCCCTGAATGCATTTACACTCACAGACCAGAGACAACATTACTACAATAGGCTACATCAGGTTCCCAATTCGAGCCCATGTTCCGAAGTGAAGTAAACTTCAACGGATTTCCCCCCCTCAGGGAGTAGGGAGCAGTGAACACTGTGTAGGGATCATATCGATCGGAACACAGTTCATGCACGTAGCTCACTTCTAACGAGCTGGCGCGAGGACTAGATTAACCGCTGGGCTACATCATGTGTCATTCACCGGTGAGAAATCTTTAAAAGTACTACAATACCAGGAAGGAAGATCAGGTTGTTGATGTTTGTCTGCCATTCTCGCTCTGTCTGCACAGTGTGCGTGAACGTGCTGATGACGTATCCTGTCTGCGCGAACCCGGTGCGCAGAGGTATGCTAATGCATATGTTGACAGGCAAGTAGGAAAGCATATTAAAAAGCTTGGACCGAGCGTTTTGATTGGACGAACATTTCTTGATCCTACACCTTCCACAGAATATATAAATACAGACAAATACATTTAGACCACTTAACTTAATAATTGCTATCGGGATGTGAAGAGACTTTCAACCAGCATAACAAAAAATGTTTCTGAAGACAATCACCTATTGCACCTTTAACTATAATAATCCTGGTTTACAGTTTATAAAATAGTTGTTATATGACATAATACAAGAGTAAAAAAAAAAAAAAAAAAATCAAGGCCTCAGTACTTTGTTGTTCAGTGCAGCCTAACAAAATGTTAGTGTCATTTAGTATTTACTGTCAGGCTTCTCAGGAAAGCCAAAGTGTATGTACAGTACTTGTATTCTTAGTTATAACAGGAATTCCGTTTTCCAGCCTTGTAAATCTCTTGAAAATTACATCATTTTTGTAAAATTGCCTTTTTTCTTTTAAACACGCATGCTGAGGTCTCTGCCTTGGATATAATATGTATCTCTTTCTACATCAAGACCCTTTTTTTTTTTTTTTTACAATTTAACAAGTCATAGTCATCGTGGATGGGAAGGAGATGTGCTGGTGTCTATTTTCATTGGTGTTGGGCATTTGCTGCCATGGCAACCTGCTCTTCTGTATGTATGTGAGCGTCATATGGGTCATGCTGCTTATCTGAGGATCAGCAGAAACAGAACCTGCTCTGCATCCTCGCTGTGATTCATCATGAATATGTAATGGCCAGAGTTCAATATGGTGCATTCATAGGGCATCGTGAAAGTTGTTTTTATTGATTTTCTTATAGCTCATGAATGTATGTGAGCTGGAGGGGGTGAAGTCGACTTTCCACTGAAAAGTTCATCTCCCCAGTTTGAATTACTCAAAGATTTTGACTCTCAGTCAGGTTTGAGGTTTTGGACAGGTGTCTTTTATACTGATAATGAGTTCAAACAGATGCCATTAATACAGGTAACGAGGGGAGGACAGGGGAGCCTCTTAAAGAAGAAGTTACAGGTCTGTGAGAGCCAGAAATCTTGCTTGTTTGTAGGTGACCAAATACTTATTTTACCGAGGAATTTACCAATTAATTCTTTAAAAATCCTACAATGTGATTTTCTGGATTTTTCCCCCTCATTTTGTCTCTCATAGTTGAGGTATACCTATGATGAAAATTACAGGCCTCTCTCATCTTTTTAAGTGGGAGAACTTGCACAATTGGTGGCTGACTAAATACTTTTTTGCCCCACTGTATTTAGGGACTGTTGATTTGCTATTCTTATTATATTCTCAGTATTCAAGGCAAGATTAATTTTATGGCCTGGTATCAAATGACAGAATGTTAATAATGGAAGAACCAGTGATAATTTTGTTTTAGTAGCTGGTTTCTTTTAGAAGTTCAAGATGTTTTAGATGTATTAAGTTACTTTTTATAGAAAGTAATGTGTTGCATTACTTTTGCGTTCCTTTTTCTCATCTGGGCTGGGCTTGCTTGTTGGTTTTTAATATAAATAAAGTTCTATTTTTGGCAAATGTAAAAACCCTTTCATGCCAGAAGTGACATGAATAAGCCTCAGGCTGAAGGAAATGTAAAATCAAAAAGCTCAAACAAACCTTTCAGCTGTTCTGCCATTCTGGATTGCATGAAGAATAGGATGTAAGAGAAGAAAGTTTTAAAAATTACATTCTCACAAAAGTTAAGTTTCTCTGAAGTCATTTTTGCTTCTTAGTATGGTTGTATTGGAGGTCATTGAAGGTCAGCAGCAAAGACACTGTTAATAAAAAGGGATAACTTTTTTGAAAACAGAGTAACTCAGATATTTTATTGTAAATTAAAAAGTAATGTGTTACTAGTTACTTAAAAGTAATCTGACTACATAACTCATATTACTATGCGTTACCCCAAACACTGTGTATCTCTATCTATCTATCTATCTATATATCTATGTCTCTCTCTCTCTCTCTCTCTCTCTCTCTATACAGGTGCATCTCAATAAATTAGAATGTCGTGGAAAAGTTCATTTATTTCAGTAATTCAACTCAAATTATGAAACTCGTGTATTAAATAAATTCAGTGCACACAGACTGAAGTAGTTTAAGTCTTTGGTTCTTTTAATTGTGATGATTTTGGCTCACATTTAACAAAAACCCATCAATTCACTATGTCAACAAATTAGAATACTTCATAAGACCAATAAAAAACATTTTTTTAATGAATTGTTGGCCTTCTGATTGATATGCACCTGTATGTGTATATATATATATATATATATATAAAACAAAGCAAAATTTATGTTTTGTTGACATTTGGGTCAAAAAGTAGTATGTATTTTGAATACATTTAGATATACTCTACCATTCAGAAGTTTGAAGTCTGTAAGATTTTTTAATGTTTTTGAAATACATATTTTATGCTTACCAAGACTGCATGTATTTGACATGTATACAGTAAAACAGGAAAATTTTGAAAAATTATTACAATTTAATATAGCTGTTTTTAATTTGAATATATTTTAAAAATCTAATTTACTCCTGTCATGCAAAGCTGAATTTTGAGCATCATTACTCCAGTCTTAAGTGTCACATGATCCTTCAGAAATCATTCTAATATGCTGATTTGCTGCTCAAAAAACATTTCTTATTATTATCAATGTTGAAGACAGATGTGATGCTTAATATTTTTGTGGAAACATGATACATTTTTGGGATTCTTTGATAAATAGAAAGTTCAACAGAAGCGTTTATTTGAATGTCTTTATTGTCACTTTTGATCAATTTAATGCATTCTTGCTGAATAAAAGTATTAATTTCTTAAAAGAAAAAGACATACTGACCCTGTAGTATTTGATAATGACATTTAACTTTTTTTAACTTTGTTTTTATTTTTAGCTGACTTTACAACTCAAATCAATTATCACATTTTATGAGGTTGCTTTCAAAATCCATTCAAAAATCTTCAGAGCATGTGTTTCTGCATAAAAGTGTCTTATAAAGCTTGTGTTTAATTAATTACTGAAGGGATTTACAGTAGTTCCCCTGGTGGAGGTGCTCCCATAAAGTGTGTTTAGCAAAATTATCCAGCCTCTTGCTAGTGCAACACCTAAATGCCTGTTCTCTCCTATATTACAGGGCAGAAAAAACAGAGGTACTGAGTGAAGACCTGCTGCAGGTGAGATGAAATCAGATCAGTGTGAACACAACTGCGTACACAAGCTGTATATATTTATATTTATACTACACTGCTCATATGTTTCACATGTGTCTATTTTGCATTCAGGTGGAGAAGCGTTTAGACCTGGTAAAGCAGGTCTCTCATAGCACACATAAGAAGCTGACTGCCTGTCTGCAGGGACAACAAGGCACTGATTTAGACAAGAGATCAGTCAAATCTCCCTTGGTACGTCAACTCTCACACCTCAGATACTTCATTTTTTTGCAGTGCAATGAATTACTCTCATAACAACTTGATTGTGATTTTCCCTAAACACAGAAAAAGTTGCCCCTGACGATACTTGCTCAATGTATGGTGGAGGGAGCAGCTGTGTTAGGAGACGACTCTCTTCTTGGGTGAGTTTTTCTTTATATTTTGACATCGAATCAGATTTTTCAAACGGTTTCCCTTGGGCTGCATCCTAATTTACAACCAAATGGGCATCAATGGAGAATTATGCTTTTAAGCTCACAATGGAAAAAGTGATTTTCTCAGTATTTGTTTTGTCTCGTTTTCCAGTACAAATATCTAAACATTCTTAAATCAAGATACATTTACTTGAAAAAGAAAATTACATGAGATATTAAGTTTTGTTTACTGGAATACAAGAAAAAAATATCTGCTAGAGAGGTAAGAAAAATAAAGTTGTTTTCACTTTAAATGTAGTTTATTTTCCAGATATTTTTCCTTCTTTTAAGCATAAATTTAATTTTGACAATTATTTTCAGAAAACAAAAATTATGACTTTATTTTTTGTCTTCCAGAATGTGATTTTGCTTTCCAAGTAAATGTCTTAAAATTTAAAAAAAAAGGGAAAATATGGTAAATTAACAGCTGGGACGACAGTGTACACTAAAAAATGGTATCAATACAAATGGCTCCAGGATGATCTGATGAAGTAATTCCAAAAATGTAGTGATATGTTCAGATTCAGATATAACTCCTTAGCCTTCACTTATTTCAGACGTGTAATATTTTAGCAAAAATACTGATTGTATTATAATACCAATTCAGACAGAAATGAAAAAGCAGACAAAAGGGTGAATCAAGCACTTAAATTGGGCAAGACAAATTGAATTTTTAAATATGTTATAAATTAGTTACAATAACAACACTGTGGCAGACTGGACAATATTTCCATCATTGACCGTACAAAAAAGATGTGTCCACGTGTCCACTTCCTTCCACTATAGAAAAGTGATAGCCCGGTATGGCCACTGTCATCTTGTGCCAATGACGTCATTTGGAACCCGAGTCTGTGCAGTAGTAATCGTGAGGTGGAGTCGCAGTATAAACGTCCCGCCCCAAACGTCCCCAGACCCAATCATAAGCTCACAATCATGACACCACACCCCGTTTTTACAGCATTAAATAACTAACTAAAAGCAAACTTATTAGGAAACCGAACACTTGAACATACATCGGCGTGACAAGAACTACTTAAAATGATGGACACCATCTTTGAGAAAAATTTACTTGAAGTGTAATTTAATTTAGTTTGGCTCACGTCCCATTCGTTTACATGGAAAGGGCTGGGTTTATGACTTACCCAGTCATTATCTGGCTCATATTTGCGATTTCAACCATATTCTCAAGACTATTGTTTTCAGTGACTTGAGGAATAAAGGTGAAGTGCACTTATTGATTCATCAGATATTTAATTATCGTTGCGCAGGAAAAATATGCTTACGCTATTACATCCCTCGGGTTGCTACCCTGATAGCACATGTACATCACAGAGACGTCTATGTGACGTCTGCAAGATGTATTTTTTAGAGTGTTTGCTCATCTGCAATACGTCTATAGGATGTTTCCTTTCAGATGTCAAATAGACGTTTAGAAAATGTCTTTAAGATGTTAATGATTTAGAATGCGTGTAAAACTGACATCTTAAAGACGTCTATCAGATGTTTGTACACAGCAGATGCTTTCCAGATGAAGCGAGCTTTAACAGACATCTTGTAGACTTACGTGTGCTATCTGGGTAGCAACCCTAAACACTTTTTACAAAAAGTGAATCAGAAAACAGAGATTATTTTATATATATGTTTTTTTTTCTTGTTATATTGTTTAAAATGAATAGATTGAGGAATATTAAGAAAGTTGAAGTCTAACTTTAAAAAATGAAGGAGGGAGAGGGTAGTGAATGACGTCCTGGGTCACTAAAGACCCGAGGTATGCATTTAAGGGTTAAACTGGTTTGCAATCTGCCAGTAAACCTAGTGAAGCAGAAGAAATATGCTTTTTTCCCCAGCCAGGTGGTGTAATTACTACAGCATACCAGCAGGGGCTAATGGGATCATGGTAACCTGACAAACCTTATTCAGACTTCTTGTGGTCAAAGTTTGGTTTCTAAATGTCTCTTGTCATGCAACCTACATTGGTTTGCATCAAATTTATTTGGATAGTTTCTACCAAGAGACAGATGAAATAGCACCAAAAATATCATAGAATTTGATTAGGCACACAGCCTTTGATGTCAACATCAAAAACTATGGGTAGTTGTTTCTCACACATTCAAGCTCTTGAGTTATTTCATGATATTCACCAAGATGTTTGTGAATTAGGATGCAGCTCTGACTTGGTTGACTGCTTTGGCTAACCTGTGGTCTCCTTCTGTAGCAAGATGCTGAAGCTCTGTGGTGAGTCAGAGGAGAAGTTGGCCCAAGAGCTGCTCGTCTTTGAGTTTCAGATTGAAAGAGATGTTGTGGAGCCTCTGTATGTGCTGGCTGAGGTGAGCATGTTTTTCCTTTCAAAGTTACACTGTAGTATACATATTGTGCCCTTTTGTCATCTGCATGTAACCATGTAAAGCCTGACATATGAAATAATAGTCAGAAAAATCTTTTTTTTGTTGTTTTTTATTGAAAAATGTATTAAACCTTTAGACAAAGTAAAATTCTGTATGTGCTGGCTGAGGTGAGCATGTTTTTCCTTTCAAAGTTACACTGTAGTATACATATTGTGCCCTTTTGTCATCTGCATGTAACCATGTAAAGCCTGACATATGAAATAATAGTCAGAAAAATCTTTTTTTTTTGTTTTTTATTGAAAAATGTATTAAACCTTTAGACAAAGTAAAATCTTTCTAACAGTATTACAGACTACTTACATAAAATGCATATAAATGTCTATTGTCACTGTATATCTCCTAATAATATAATAAGTCTTAGTAACATGATATTTAAATGCTTAGTTTTATTATCAAAGCTCTGTAGTTTTTATTATGGGACAAAAACATATAATGCAATGTAATACAAGGATAATTCAGAGATGTACATACCAATGTTCATCAAATGCCTGATGTATTAAAAAATTGTTTATCTTGAAATATTAAAAATATAAAAGTTATTCTTACATTTACTTTATAAAAAATCTGTCAATATTTCACAGCCAAAAGTCATGTGTACAACAACCTGATGGGGGACATTTTTACTTAAAGGACTTTTATTTGCTAAAAAGTATAAACTATCAATCAGGTGACAGAAGGGATGTAGTAGATTGTGTACAGCAGGTTTTTCAGCAAAGTGTTGATCATGTTCATAATTTAGAGGCCTTAGAAATTTGCATATCAAATATGATACAGTAGACTTTATAGGGTTGGAAGCTAATCCCTAAGTGCTTGCAGTTTTTAATGCATGAAGGTTGTATTGTTTCTCATATGGACACGGTTTGCTGTTTAGGTGGAAATTCCGAACATTCAGAAACAGCGAAAACATTTAGCCAAACTCGTCCTGGACATGGATTCTGCAAGGACACGGTATGGACTACAAGCAATATTACTGTTGATCCCTTGATCTGCATTGCACACATTGTACTCTGACCGTGTCATTGGTCCTCCTGACCTCTAGGTGGCAACAGTCATCCAAGTCTTCAAGTCACCCCAGTAATGTGCAGCAGGGCGGAGCCAAGGGTGATTCCCTGAGAGAGGAAATGGAGGAGACGGCCAATCGGATGGAGATCTGCAGGGTGACGATTCCTCTCACTCTTTCTTCCGTATTTAATTAAAACCTTAAAGGGGTCATATGATGCTTTTTTAAAGATCATTATTTTGTGTATTTGGTGTAACAAAATATGTTGACATGCTTTAATGTTCAAAAAACACATTCTTTTTCAAATACTGTGCATTATTGTAGGTCCTCTTTGCGTGCACGTTTGGGCGGAATTATGCAAATATTTCCACATAGTGAGGTAGATATGTGGGGGCGTTTTAGAACGAGCCGTTTTAGGGGGGTGTGGCAGAGTCTTAACTTTGATAAAGAATATCTCTTTGGTTTTGAGACTTTAGTCTTTGCAACTTCAGGGATCTTATCTATGCACAATCAGCTTGTAACACCCCAAAGAGAAAGGAAAACTTGAAATCGCATCATATGACCCCTTTAACCAAATGCAAAGCAAAACTAACATGTTACTTTTACTTAATAGTCTCCATCTCAAAATGTTTTTGCCTTTTTTTTTTTTATAAATTTGAAATATTTGTGATAACGTAGACCCACATGTCTTCCTCTCTGTAGGACCAGTTATCAGCGGACATGTACAATTTTATGGCCAAAGAAATAGACTATGCAAACTACTTTCAAACGGCAAGTACCTCTGTGCACTTAAGGTGAAGTGTGTAATTTTGGTTGGAATACCTTACAACGTGTGTGTGTCCTCTTATTGGTCTTGCTGTAGCTCATAGAGGTTCAGGCGGAGTATCACAGGAAGTCTTTGGAGATTCTGCAGAGTGTGCTGCCACAGATCAAAGCTCACCAGGGTGAGACTCTCCACTTCCACTTTCATGCCTGAGCGTACAAGTTTGGTTAAGTGGTGGCTTTCAAGTGCTTGTGTGGGTCTGTCAGTAAACTTGTTTCTGTAGCTTTTAGGGACCTGCATTTTAACGTCCATCATTATGTGTTTCAGAGGCCTGGATAGAGAAGCCATCGTATGGAAAGGCCTTAGAGGAACATCTAGCCATCAGTGGCAGGGAGATTGCGTTTCCTATCGAGGCGTGCGTCACCATGCTGCTCGAATGTGGCATGGAGGAAGAGGTGCGAGACTGCTGAGAAATAGCACAACATGCCTTATTTGTACCTGGAAGCGCAGTTTGTTTCTACAAACTGCGGGATGAGTCGAAATTGACAGCATGTCACAGATGCCGTTGATAAACATTATGCTGTAGATAACCTGAAACATTCTGGAAAGATCTCTTTGATTTCACCTTGACAAATTATTAAGTACAATGATAGTATCATTGACCAGGATTTTTATAGTCTCAGCATCATGTGGAGCATCCACAGAACATCACTGATCAAATTCATATTTTTAATATTGTTGAATACTTCCCGTGTTGATTTATTTATTTAAATGCCATTAAATGACTCATTTAATAAAAACTAATCATGATTGGCCACTTTACATGTCATTCATGAAGTCTGTATTAACTACACAAAGTTATTAAATTACCCATCATTCTTTTTTTTTCAGAAATTAAGAACTTGTGGTAAAAATATTATTTATTATTTTTATGTTACATAAATTATAATTGATTATAATACATATTTTATAAGAAATACATTTATCTAATTCAGTTTATATTAATTTAGTTGATCTAATTTAGGTTATGGCTTGATTTTTTAAATATATGAATAATAATTTAGCTAATTAAGAGGATGAGTTGCATCTCTACTTATAATATACACTTTTCTGTAAACAATTGATCTATGGATTTTTTTTACACTTTCAGTATATATATAAAAAATAATGCTTTATTATTATTATTATTATTATTTTAAATAGTACACAAGTGTACTGTTAGTACAATGCATTGATATTAATATACTTACTACATAAAATATACTTTGAAAATTTACTTGAACTTGAACTCAAGTTTAACTGATAAAATTAATTTACCATTATTTATTCATTTTAAATACCTTTTAGTTATCTTGAGGCCCCATTGGAAGTTTGCTGAGACCCCCTAGTGGGCCCCGGCCTCCAGGTTGAGAACCACTGATCTATTGCAAAAAATTAATTAATTAATTAATTAATTAAACCACGAGGGCCAAGGATGTCATTTGGGACAGGGCTTGGGATTTTATGGCCAAAAAGGTCTTAACTTTACTCTTCCTGTCACATTAGGGTTTATTTCGGGTAGCTCCCTCAGCCTCCAAGCTGAAGAAACTTAAAGCATCTCTGGACTGCGGGGTTCTGGATGTGCAGGAGTACTCGGCCGACCCACATGCCATCGCAGGTGATCATCTGCCTCTCACCTCTTAGCTTTTAAAATGTTCACTGATCTATCCGCAGTGTCCTTTTAGTGGATCGCAGCTACAAAGTCTCAGACCCCATGGCAGTTCGCATTAAATTATGTCCCAGGTTAATTTGATCTCATTACACTGGGCCTGAAGCGTGACCTAGTAGCCGCCAGGTAGGGGGGCCACAGCCGACAGGTGGTACACGCTGATTGTGGCCATGACAGCTCATTTGTCAGGCTTCTCCTTAGTATTTCAAGCAGAGAATATCACACCTCCTTTCACACGTGCTGTGCTTCCCTCTTTCACCATGTCCCTGCCTCTTTCACTTCCTCATCTGCTTCCCTCAGGAGCTTTGAAGTCTTATCTTCGTGAACTTCCCGAACCTCTAATGACCTTTGAACTCTATGATGAATGGATTCAAGCCTCAAAGTAAGTATCGATGGTTTACCCCAACACACACTCCATTAGCCAGTACTATTTGCCATTTTCAGATACATGTGAGACATTTGCTCGGGTCCAAAACGTACCCTGATAGCAAACGTACATCACAGAGTTTTCATCTGGAAGATGTATTTTTAGAGCATTTGCTTATCTGCAATATGCCTCCTGTAAGCCTCATGTAAGATTGTTTCCTGTGTTGGGAAAAAAATTTCTTTTATGCCAAAAATCATTTGGATATTAAGTAAAGATCATGTTCCATGAAGATATTTTGTAAATTTCCTAATGTAAATATATTAAAACGTAATTTTTGATTAGTAATATGCATTGCTAAGAACTTTAAAGGTGATTTTCTCAATATTTAGATTGTTTAGATTGCAGATATTCAAATAGTTGTATCTCGGCCAAATATTGTCCTGTCCTAACAATTATATTCCATATATCAATGGAAAGCTTATTTATTCAACTTTCAGTTGATGTATAAATCTCAATTTCAAAAAAATGATCCTTATGACTGGTTTTGTGGTCCAGGGTCACAAATGTAAAATCGATTTTTTTTTTTAAGATGTAAATTGGCTGTTTTTACAACCGATGCTTTGCATATGAAGCTCTCTGTAACTGAAATCTTGGAAATGTACATGTGCTTTGGGTAGTGAGGCGCCTACCTGGATTTAAAGGGATATTTCACTCATAATCGAACGCGTTCAAGGCCCAGAAGCGTAGTAAGGACGTGATTAAAATAGTCCATGTGACATCAGTGGTTCAACCGTCATTTTATGAAGATACAGGAATCATTTTTGTGTGCAAAGAAAACAAAAATAACGACTTTATTCAACAATTTTTTCTCTTCTGTGTATTATAGTGTAAGTGAATGTGTAGGTGTTAGTATTAGCTTACCTTTAGAGTATACTCTCAGTAAACTACTAGTGTAATAGTTTTTATACTCAGTGTATATACTGTAATTGTATGTTAAGTGAACTTAACATTAAATTTACAATTGTAGATTTGTCACTTGTCATCTGTTTCTGTGTGGGTTAATTGCACTGTGGAGAAAAAAAAGGATCAAGTTTAGTTGCACCCATGAACATACAGCAGTATATTCTTATACTGTATACTGTACCATAATGCATCTCTCCCTGTGTCCTTTCTCTAGTATTCAAGATATGGATAAAAGGCTCCAAGCCCTTTTGTGTACATGTGAGAAACTACCAGCAGACAATCTGAACAACTTCAGGTGCGTGGTGCTTGTTATTTACTTATTATTTGTTATTTCTGATGAGGCCTTTGTCTTTGAATGAGTCATGAATGCAAGAGCTCATTAGAAGAGAGGAGTGTCAAATCTCCGTCACATCATGAGCGGTGCAGCAGTTCCTTCACAGACAAGAAGTGGGCATGTTTTTTAAATAAAAAGTTTATTAGTCCTACTGAGAATCTTTTTGAGTTTGGAAATGTCCTTCAGTCTAACCTGTTTAGTGTGACAACTATACAGAAGCTGTCTCTGGCAAAGACAAATTCAGCCTTTAATTTCACCCTGACTGGTTTGGCCAAAGAATAAGAGCCACACAATAAATAATACATAATCAATCCAGGATTAAGTTCAAACAAAGCTTCTGTTTAATAAAATAAAGATGCCTGTGTTCATATTGATTACGCATTTTATTTACAATTCAGCTAACAAATCCTGTGAATATTTAGCACGCCTTTACTTCTAGCCTATATTGCAAGGTTTCTAGATATATGCTGTGGGTCTTGGCTGTTTGACTGCACCTGCCTTCTGTCAGACCTACTGAAATATTGATAATATACAGCGACAGGAATAGCAAATGTCAGAGAGAATGCCAGGGCTAAACCCTTTGGTCAAACTGAGATTGAAACTGAAGTTTTTTCTTTCTTTTCTAAACAGATATTTAATCAAGTTCTTAGCCAAACTCACAGAGCATCAGGATGCTAATAAAATGACGCCGGGTAATATTGCAATAGTTCTCGGACCCAACCTGCTGTGGACACATTCAGAGGGGTGAGTGCATGTCTTCTGTTTGGATTATTTCTTACATTTATGCGGAGAGCAGCAAATTCGCAAAGCAATTTAAAGGGACAGTTCACTGAAAAATGAAAATTCTGTTATTACTTGCAGTACATATGACTTATGAATTTATGACTTTATTATGTTTCTTCTGTGGAGCACAGTGTTGTTAATGTTAACTAAAACACACTGATGAAAATGATTTTCTTAAAGAAATACAATTACAATAAAATATAAATAAATATTAGATTAAAAACGTCAAATTTGAGAAAAATTGAAGTTGAAGTGCTAAAATTGCTAAAACTAAAGTAGAAGCAGATATTGACAAAAAAAAGGAAAAATTAGCAAAGCACATAACACAATTATTTAAGCTAAATGAAATCTAAAAATGTGCAAAAAAAGCTCAATCAAAATAATGAATACCGTAATAATATATGATGATTAATACAAAAATAAGCACTTTTGAAGAATCCATACAAAAACAGTTCATAGTGACCATGTCTGTCAAGCTTCAAGAACGATAAAAACATGCTACAAAAGTAGTTCATATGGCTTTTGCACTATATTTTTAACCTTCATGCGAAGGATTTCTGTCTTCTGACTGACAATCATTTTTTGGGATCCCTACAGATGTGGTCACTGTGAAATATAGTTTTATGGAGAAGAACTGCATGAGGATTGCTTAAAATCTAACCTTTTGTGTTCCACAAAAGAAAGAAAGTCAGTTTTGGATCAACATAAGTTAATGACATTTTTAGGTATACTGCTTCTTGAATGTATCTAGTCGTTTTATATTTTGACGTATATAATTCTCAAATGGGTCATTGATCTTCACAGGAACATGACAGAAATGATGACCACCATGTCGCTGCAAATCGTTGGCATCATTGAGCCGATCATCCAGCATGCTGACTGGTTCTTCCCTGGAGGTTAGATAGAAAGAGTTGTGAAAACATATTCGCACATACACACATGCGTTTTCTCCTGCAAGATTTGGACTGATTTGTCTTTGCTATTCTTAAGGGGGCTTAAGCCTTAAACCAGGCTTAAGTCGCTGGGGTATATTTTGTAGCAATAGCCAAAAATACATTGTATGGGTCAAAAATATAGATTTTTCTTTTATGCCAAAAATCATTTGGATATTAAGTAAAGATCATGTTCCATGAAGATATTTTGTAAATTTCCTAATGTAAATATATTAAAACGTAATTTTTGATTAGTAATATGCATTGCTAAGAACTTTAAAGGTGATTTTCTCAATATTTAGATTGTTTAGATTGCAGATATTCAAATAGTTGTATCTCGGCCAAATATTGTCCTGTCCTAACAATTATATTCCATATATCAATGGAAAGCTTATTTATTCAACTTTCAGTTGATGTATAAATCTCAATTTCAAAAAAATGATCCTTATGACTGGTTTTGTGGTCCAGGGTCACAAATGTAAAATCGATTTTTTTTTTTAAGATGTAAATTGGCTGTTTTTACAACCGATGCTTTGCATATGAAGCTCTCTGTAACTGAAATCTTGGAAATGTACATGTGCTTTGGGTAGTGAGGCGCCTACCTGGATTTAAAGGGATATTTCACTCATAATCGAACGCGTTCAAGGCCCAGAAGCGTAGTAAGGACGTGATTAAAATAGTCCATGTGACATCAGTGGTTCAACCGTCATTTTATGAAGATACAGGAATCATTTTTGTGTGCAAAGAAAACAAAAATAACGACTTTATTCAACAATTTCTTCTCTTCTGTGTATTATAGTGTAAGTGAATGTGTAGGTGTTAGTATTAGCTTACCTTTAGAGTATACTCTCAGTAAACTACTAGTGTAATAGTTTTTATACTCAGTGTATATACTGTAATTGTATGTTAAGTGAACTTAACATTAAATTTACAATTGTAGATTTGTCACTTGTCATCTGTTTCTGTGTGGGTTAATTGCACTGTGGAGAAAAAAAAGGATCAAGTTTAGTTGCACCCATGAACATACAGCAGTATATTCTTATACTGTATACTGTACCATAATGCATCTCTCCCTGTGTCCTTTCTCTAGTATTCAAGATATGGATAAAAGGCTCCAAGCCCTTTTGTGTACATGTGAGAAACTACCAGCAGACAATCTGAACAACTTCAGGTGCGTGGTGCTTGTTATTTACTTATTATTTGTTATTTCTGATGAGGCCTTTGTCTTTGAATGAGTCATGAATGCAAGAGCTCATTAGAAGAGAGGAGTGTCAAATCTCCGTCACATCATGAGCGGTGCAGCAGTTCCTTCACAGACAAGAAGTGGGCATGTTTTTGAAATAAAAAGTTCATTAGTCCTACTGAGAATTTTTTTGAGTTTGGAAATGTCCTTCCTGTCTTCTGACTGACAATCATTTTTTGGGATCCCTACAGATGTGGTCACTGTGAAATATAGTTTTATGGAGAAGAACTGCATGAGGATTGCTTAAAATCTAACCTTTTGTGTTCCACAAAAGAAAGAAAGTCAGTTTTGGATCAACATAAGTTAATGACATTTTTAGGTATACTGCTTCTTGAATGTATCTAGTCGTTTTATATTTTGACGTATATAATTCTCAAATGGGTCATTGATCTTCACAGGAACATGACAGAAATGATGACCACCATGTCACTGCAAATCGTTGGCATCATTGAGCCGATCATCCAGCATGCTGACTGGTTCTTCCCTGGAGGTTAGATAGAAAGAGTTGTGAAAACATATTCGCACATACACACATGCGTTTTCTCCTGCAAGATTTGGACTGATTTGTCTTTGCTATTCTTAGATATTGAGTTCAACCTGACAGGCAGCTATGGCAGCCCAGTTCACACCAACCACAACTCCAACTACAGCTCCATGCCCTCGCCCGATATGGACCAATCAGAGCGCAAGCAGCAGCATGACCAGAGCCGACGCCCACTCAGTGTTGCTACTGACAACATGATGCTGGAATTCTACAAGAAGGATGGGTAGGTTCATGTCTCTGTCAGCCTCCTCCATCTCTCCTCTTTTCCTTTTCCCTCCCACACTCTTCCATTAGCTTCTCATACCATCCTTACTTCTTAAAGGGACAGTTCACCCAAAAATGAAGATTCTGTCACCCTCATGTCGTTCCAAACCTGTATGATTTTTTTCCCCATGAAACAAAAGGTAGATTTTTGAAGAATATCCTGGCTAGTAGGACTAGACAATTAATTGAAATAAAACCAAAATCGCAATATGGCTTAGTGTGGATATCAAATCACAAAGGCTGCAAATTAATAAAATAAATATATGAGCTTTGGGTTTCAGAGTGAAGAGTAGCACTGTGTTTATTTATACACATGCAGCTCATGATCCAGTGTTTTCAGTTTCTTAAAGCAGCTCAGTTCACAGTAAATGTATCTGCTCGTAGTTTGGGTCGCTTAAAACGGGCATTTGGGAAAACAACATGCGTCAACCATCTTCCCAAACTTTTAAAGAGAAGCACTATATGGCAGCAAAAGAGATGCTTTATGGTGTGGCTTTCCTTCGAAAAAAAAAAATGTTGATGGTTTAACGTTTGAAAATTAAGCCATAAATATTAGTTTTGCAATTGTTTACAGCAGTAATGTAAAAGAAAATTATTTTTATATTATTTTTCTTAAAAACTTAAAGCATTTATCTTTTTATACAGAAAAATATTACAATAGTAATGTTTATTTTTATATTTTTATGTAATAATAATACCAATATTATATATGATTATATTTTTAGTAGTAGTATTTTAGAGTTATATTTTTATATGTATATGTACACACATATGTGTGTGTGTTTATATATATATAATTATTTTTTTTATAGTTATGCAGATACATAATTGCAGCAATTTTGGCCAAATTGTGCAACACTTTTAAACAACCGATATGGACCAATCAGAGCGCAAGCAGCAGCATGACCAGAGCCGACGCCCACTCAGTGTTGCTACTGACAACATGATGCTGGAATTCTACAAGAAGGATGGGTAGGTTCATGTCTCTGTCAGCCTCCTCCATCTCTCCTCTTTTCCTTTTCCCTCCCACACTCTTCCATTAGCTTCTCATACCATCCTTACTTCTTAAAGGGACAGTTCACCCAAAAATGAAGATTCTGTCATCATTTACTCACCCTCATGTCGTTCCAAACCTGTATGATTTTTTTCCCCATGAAACAAAAGGTAGATTTTTGAAGAATATCCTGGCTAGTAGGACTAGACAATTAATTGAAATAAAACCAAAATCGCAATATGGCTTAGTGTGGATATCAAATCACAAAGGCTGCAAATTAATAAAATAAATATATGAGCTTTGGGTTTCAGAGTGAAGAGTAGCACTGTGTTTATTTATACACATGCAGCTCATGATCCAGTGTTTTCAGTTTCTTAAAGCAGCTCAGTTCACAGTAAATGTATCTGCTCGTAGTTTGGGTCGCTTAAAACGGGCATTTGGGAAAACAACATGCGTCAACCATCTTCCCAAACTTTTAAAGAGAAGCACTATATGGCAGCAAAAGAGATGCTTTATGGTGTGGCTTTCCTTCGAAAAAAAAAAATGTTGATGGTTTAACGTTTGAAAATTAAGCCATAAATATTAGTTTTGCAATTGTTTACAGCAGTAATGTAAAAGAAAATTATTTTTATATTATTTTTCTTAAAAACTTAAAGCATTTATCTTTTTATACAGAAAAATATTACAATAGTAATGTTTATTTTTATATTTTTATGTAATAATAATACCAATATTATATATGATTATATTTTTAGTAGTAGTATTTTAGAGTTATATTTTTATATGTATATGTACACACATATGTGTGTGTGTTTATATATATATAATTATTTTTTTATATAGTTATGCAGATACATAATTGCAGCAATTTTGGCCAAATTGTGCAACACTTTTAAACAAGCACAGCAAATCTGGAGCTTTAAAAAAATTAAATTTTAATGTGCACATTTATTTAGAACAATGCAATTACATGCAATTACATTTTTTTTTCCAAAATAATGAGGGTGACTACAAGTGTCTTATTACTTCAGAAGACTTGCTCATGAGTGGACCATTTATGGTGCTTTTTTTATCATTTTGGAACTTGTCCTCATCCTTCATCTTAATTATATATTTTATTTATTTATTTTAATTATATATATATATAAATTATAACAGTGGCCAGGATATTAACCTTTAATGTTCCTTGGAAAAAAGAAAGTCACATGCGGTTTGATCAACATGAGAAAATGACAACAGAATTTTCTTTTTCCTGTGAATTATCCTTTTAAATTAAATATCATTGCAGTAACTGCCTATTACTGACAGGGTTCGATAGTGCCGCTTAAAACAATTAGCAGTGGCAGAGGAGACAGCGGCAGATAGCTAATGTGTTCAGCGACTAATTCACTTAGACTGGGACGTCAGTCACTTCGTTATCCAGTAAACTTTCAGTGTCATTTGTTCTCAATTGGAGTTGAGCTCCGGGACAATCTCAGTGACTCCCACAACCTGCCCTCATTTGAATAGAGCTGATCTTGGGCTGATGGGCTGCCACGGTCTCCATGGTAACGCGGATGGAGTGTTGAAGGAGGGCCGCCGCTCGCTTATCATTCTCTGAGGGGGCTATATTTCTGCCACTATCGACAGAGACACGAGGCAGATGTGCCAGGCTCTGACTCATGCCACCTGCAATGCTCCAGCAGGTGGAAAAATACCGCATACGGAGGAGGAGATCCAAAATTCTGTTAGACAGAGTCCTACTCCAGACTGGCTTATGACAAATATTGCATTCTGGCAAATATTTGGCAAACATTGCTGCCAAATTACCACATATTAAATGCAGGGCTGTGTGGAATCATTTTTGCAAGTGCTTTAATGAAATGATTTATGGAAGAAGAATAGCAGCTATTATAACTGAGGGGAGCATGACCACTCTACCTTTAGATGTTGTTAATTTCACTCCCCCTACACAGTAAAAAAAATGGTGACTTGCAATTTTTACCTATATTTCTTCCTAATTTAACTGCTAAAATCTCATGTATTCATGTATTTAGGTTTATTTAGTGGTATTAAGTAATATCAGTGATATTAAGTCATATTTTTTACTTTTTTGATTAAAAAAAAACCACTTAAGTGTTACCATCTTTTTTCAGTGTACACTTTTTAGGAAGTTTATTTTGCTTGGCTGCCTTGCAGAGAAAAGTCATAAAGTCAGAAAATGATGGAAGCTTGTTTCTGCCACAGGATAAAAACAAATCTCACAATTCAGGCTATTTTTTCTTGCAATTCTAAGTTTATGTCTCACAATTCTGTGTTTTGTTTTTAGAATTGTGAGATATAAACTCAAGAAAGTTGATGACATAAAAAGTCACAATTACCTTTTTTATTTTTAAATCTGCCAGGAAAAAAAGCAATTGTGAGATGTAAAGAATTCTGAGGAAAAAAGTCAGAACTGCAAGATTTAAACTCTAGAACTGTGAGATTTTAAGTCAAAATTCAGAGAAAAAAGTCAGAACTGTGGCATAACTTGAGAATGGTGAGATTTAAATTTAGAATTACGAGATATAAACTCCGAATTCAGAGAAAAAAAGTCTGAAAGGCAGTTACCTTTATTTTTTTATGTTGTCGTGAAAAAAACAAACATTCAAATTCATAATTCGGGGGGTGGGGGTATCTGAAATGTGCATCTTTTACAAAACTATGAATTTTTTATAAACAACAGTATTACAGGCATTTAAACAAGCTTATGACAAAATTTCTGCAGTTACTGGCTTTATTTTTATTTTTTTGAAACTTTAGCTTTTAATTTAATATTTAATCGTATATGAGTATTTCCATGACATCTAGCCGTTTCCCTCACATTTCCTCATGTTAAAATGCCCCTGATGTCTGCTGTCATTTCAAACACACAGACAAGTTTTATAGATTACATAACAATTAGAGACTCTGATCCACTGTTAAAGGGGAGGCTAAGTGTCTAATTGTTTATGTCCACAGCTCTCGGGGTAAAAGCAATTAGAGTAAATGAGGCATAATGGTGTCGCAGCAGGCAAGAGTGCCAGTTGCTCATTTAGGCTGACATGTTCTCACCTCTGGACCGCCCTGATCCCCTGTCAAACTACATATGTCCCCCACTGCATGCTACACAGTTCTCATTTAGCTGTCCTCGTGTCATTTACTTTTGCTTACTCTACATTGTAATTTGCATTACTGTTAAATGTAAACTCACTGTGTTTCCTCTACACTCGTTATTTTATCCACACTTAACGCAGCATTAGGAAAATTCAAAGGTACTGTCCACCTTTTCTGTTACACCTTGACTTTGTTTTTGGTAACACTTTTTAATAACTTAATGAACAATCATTACATTTCTGTATTGTTTAACAGGACAGTCATGCATGTATGTTTAAATATAAAAACTCTACCATTCAAAAGTTTGTGGTCAGGTTTGTATATTTATTTATTTATTTAAGAAGAAGAAGAAAGTATATATTTATTAATCAAGGATGCATTAAATAAATCAAAAATAACCGTACATTTTTTTTTTATAATGTTACAAAAGATTTCTAATTTAATATTACAAAAATATTATATATTTTAATATTATTACAAAAATAATATGTCCAAAATATTAAGCAGCATGACTGTTTTTCTGAGCAGCAAATCAGCATATAAGAATGATTTCTGAAGGATCATGTGACACTGAAGACTGGAGTAATAATGCTGAAAATTCAGCTTTGATCACAGGAATAAATCACATTTGGAAACAATAAAATTGAAAACAATTATTTTAAATTGTAATAATATTTCACAATGTTACTGTTTGTACTTTATTTTTGATCATATAATGCAGTCTTGGTGAGCATAAAAGACTTCATTCATAAACAAAAAAATACCAACACTAAACTTTTGAACAGTAATGTGTATTAATAAAAATTTGAATCCAAATCATATTCTATTGTCTAATTATATCTTGTTACAATCACAATCGATTGTAATGATGCAAGTTACTATAAAGTTTGTTTAACCCTCTGACACATGAGTTATTAAATGACAAAAACATTTTCTTTTTAAAAGGAAAAAAAAAACAATATTTTTATAATATAATCATAATTTAGAGAGTTACACATCCGGCCTCTCGTTCAAATGACCTTCACCACTTTTGTCAGCCTTTTTGAAATTGTAATATTACATCATAAATAAAAAATACATGACATGTAGAGAGCAGTCATATAAAATGATGGGCAATGGTCAAAGATAATCACCCAAGGTGGCAAGTTGGCATGATGCATCAGAGGGTTAACATTCCTGTAAAGTCACAAAATCTAGATGTTGTGTTTTCTGTAGTGGTTGTGATTGATGGTTTGTGGGTCTTTATGTGTGCAGTGTTGGTGTCAGAGTCATGGACACGTCGTGGGTGAAGGGCAAAAGTTCCTCTACACTGGCCCGCAAAGCCTCATCCACACCTCCACAAGCGCCCGGCTCTCCTGCGGACACCCTGATCACTGAGCAGCCCGGTGAGCTGGCCACATCTCCATTCCCCACTCCCCCTCCTGGAGACAGGGGCAGGTAAAAACAACAACACATGATTCCCATCATCCTCTACCTGTTTTCCACTGTCATTTCAATCTACTGTATGTGTATTCCACAGCAGAACTAGTTGCATCAACTAACTTGTGACCTCATTGTTTTCCATTCAGCAATTAACTCTTTTGCTTTCCCTGCATTTGTGTATTAATTACATAATTTCCTCTGCTCTTCTATGCTTTCCTTGTTCTTTACCTATAAAAGTCTTTATCTATAAATAGAAGTGTTTTATTTTTATTTTTACATACAGTAGTGCAGTCAGTATGGCCGTGTACACACTGCAGATAAATACAGTTGCCTCTTTTGAGTTCTTCATCCTGTTTTGTACACACAGACTTCAGTTGTGTGACATCCGCATTCTACAACAAAAATTAACTGCATTTACTTAAACAAATCCAAACTCAACAGCTAGTTCTTGCAATGTAATTAAAAGCCCATGCGAGTCTCTCTTCTCCTGATGCGAGGCAAGAAGATCTCAATGATCGAATATTTGGGGTCAGTAAGACTTTTTAATTTTTGTATCATAGTTTCCACAAAAATATTAAGCAGCACGGCTGTTTCAATATTGATGGTTATAAGAAATGAGCAGGAAATCAGCATATTAGCAAAGATGGGAAGGTTAATTGGGAGATGTAATAGGCTACAGATTACAAGTTACATTATTAAGTAGTTTAACTATTTCAATGACTTTTTAAAGTAATGCAACTAATTACATGTGATTACTTTTTGATTACTTTTTCTAACAAATGTTTTCAGCTGTTAATCATTTTCAAACGTAAGCCAGGCAGGGTTAATATTACAGTAGTACTCATCACTGATTACTGTCAGACAGCTGCTGAAAATCCAGCTTTGCGTCAAATGAATATATTACATTTTATTTATTATTTATTACATTTACACTTTATTATTATCTTAACATAGATGACGCTTACATTGTTTCTTTGGCATGTTTCTAATTTGCAATTTCAGGAGTGACTCCTGTACTCTGTTCACACCCAGAACGATAACTTAGAGGATTCACTACCAGATTTGAATGCCATTGTTGATGCTTTTGCAGTGTGTACAGGCCTATATGATCATTTAGTGTGGTTAAACCATCACAGTTTGGTAGGATTGGTCTTGCTGTGGCTTTCTATTCATTCAATTTCACTAATAATCAACCCATAAGCCCATATGCAAATCATACATTAATGAAGCCAAGGTCATGCCATGGTTCAGTCATTGTATTTAGGGTTTGCAATGGCTGATGATTTGACTGGCTTACCTCCCACCCTCTGACACTCTTTCAGGCAATGAAAGGGTTTTTGTGTCTGTGTTTAACTGCTCTGGGTTTTCACCATATTTAGAGACCTTGGTTTCAGTGCTTAGCTCTTGTACAGTATATTCACCAAACTCTCTCTGATGTTTGGTTGTTCAAAGAGATTTTTTCTTTCCTCGGTGCAGTGCGCAGACACAAGGTCATTTTCAGTGTAATTTTCTGTTTTCTTTTTTAATTTTAATGCATTGCTGTGCTTTTCCTGCCAGTGGAGTCGGATGGCGCCTCTTTTTCGTTGCTAAGCTTGCTGTTTGCTAGACCTGTTGCTCATTGCCGTATGCTAAACTGGCTAAATGCTCATATCAGCTTGAGACAAACATGCAGACCAAAGGATCCTGAGAGTATTATCAATATTGTATAATGCTAGCGAGCCACAGCTGGAGCTAAACATCCACTTTCCTGTTGCGCTGTCATGCGTGTGCAGTTGACCAGAGCTCTCTCTCCTGTGTTTGCTCTTTATTGTTTTCAATATCTGCAGCTCAGACGACGTGTCGCCCAATCGTCCGGATTCCTCACATGTCTATTCGTCCCACGCGGAGGAGCGGCCACCCCCTCCGTACCCTTCCTCGTCCTCATCCTCCCATCCCGGTCCTCAGCACTTCTACCCCAAGCCCCCTCCCTGCGCTCGGCCTGTCGCCCCCGGTCCTGAGTCCCAGCCTCCCGGCTCACCGCCTCCGCCCCTGCGCTGGGCCGGCTTCGGCCCACCCCTTCCCCTTCCCCAGCCCCAACCACCCCCATCCTCTTCTTCCTCTTCCTCCTCCTCCTCACTCGATATCAACTCCAACCCCAAGCCTAGCTGCCTGCACTTTCTCAAACACGGGCCCCTGTGTGATGCGCCGCATGCCGCTCCGCCTGACGCCAATGCCTCGCCCCTCTACATTAAAACCCCTCTCGTGCTGACCCGCCATGACATGCCCCTCGGAAACCCCCCTAGCCTCCCCTCCTCCGCACCCCCACCGTGGGCTGCCTGTCCATGTGCCCGCGAGAGAGGACCCCCCAGGCTGACTAGGTAAATACCACCTGCCTGCGGCCACCCCGCCTTCGCAAAACACATCAGGGCTCCCCACACTGTCTGAGCGCTCACCTCAGATCACTCCATATTGGCTCCCACTTTTCCATCTTGTTTTTGGAACTTGCTTTGTAATGTTATTGCTTTTTCAGTCCCATCACGCAGATTCCGTAACATTCTCATTGTCTGGGAAAGCCTGAGGTTGCCTAGCAACTGAGGATGTTACTGGCGTTTAGTGAAAGTGGATCCTTCAAGTATAAATCAGAGCTGTCATTAGGTTTATAGTTTTAATATTTTGAATCATTTCATATTTTCTGTTTTTATTTTAATTTTAGCTTATTTTAATTTTATTTTTATTTTAAGTCATTTAGTTTTGTTTTTAGTAGTTATTTTAATTTGTCTATTTATTTTTATTTCAGTTTTAGCTGTTTTCGTACATCAAGTTAAACTAAATTAAAACATTGCCTTGGCAGCTAGCTGAAATTGTATTGAATTTCAGTTAACATTTATTTTATTTCAACTAACATTTTTAATGGTTAACTATAATAACCCTGGTAGAAATAAATACTTTGATGGAGCTGCATATGATGATGTGAATGTATTATGCTTGAATACATTGATTGTGACATTGAGTCATGAGTTGTGTTTGCTCACTGGGAAAGTCATACTTGATGTGCATGAACATTAGCACCAGCTCTGTTCCAAAACCTAATGAGCTGCCCACCTAGGCGTCTCTTTTAGTCATCATAGGCGCTCTCCCAACACAAAGACTCCTCCAAACAATAGGAAACAGATGTATTCTGGCCTTATGTGATAGCTTTGAAAAATAGAAATTTAAGGACTTCCCAAAATCAATTGCAATGATATAATCTGATTGCCTTGCCACTTACATTTCCTCGGTTCTTAGAAAGTGTAAGTCATCTAAGTAAAATGCATCCATTCTGTAAATGTTTGACACTATAGAGTACTGAAGTGATTAGTATTTTTGTCTAATCACTAGTATTTTTGGGCCAACTTGTGGGTTCGCGTCATCCTGGTTAACCTCACCAAAACCCCAATAGGGTTTGTTATGAATAGCCAAAAGGCTTTAGCTTGTCTATTTTCATCTTAAGCCCAATGTAGACTTCAGTTTTTCTAGTGCGCATGTGCATGCTATCAAATGAAGTATACTAAAAAGGCTATGTGTTTGGCTTTACACATACGCTAAGCATTTGCATTGTAATTATACGTTAGGCTTTAGCTGGGAACCATGATAAGCTACTCCCTGTGGCTAGTCAGAAATAGATGGTTTTAAAAGGAAATATATTCTTGTTCTAGAGAGCAATTAATTGGACAAACATTTGGATAGTGCAGGTCAATGTTTTAAGTCCCTTACTTCGTTTTCCCTATAGACAAAACTATTTTAAATGTGTATCTACTTAAAGTTTGTTAACTTTTAGGTGTACACTAACATATGCAAAGTAGGGCTGTCAAAATGACTGAAAAACAAAATTTGAATTTTCTACTTAAATATTATAAAAATTTAAAAGGCATAATTTCAATTAGGGTGAAAAAAGCTTTTGGCTTCTCTCCTGAGGCCACAAGAGGGCGCATCGAGCAAAATATTATGCACGTTTCTTCAAAGCGTAATAAAATAACACGACTATCTTTGGAAAAAAAGTGCATAATGTTTAAAATAATGTTTATAAACTATATATAATTAATAAAGTTGCTTAAACAATTAGAAAAAAAAACAGCACCATGCATGTACGTATAGTTTAATACAAAGGACCGAAAACCAATCACAAAGAGTAGGCTACTTTCTTCATTTAAAAACATGAGATACAGTGGGATGGGGAAAAACCGCCATAACGTCTATAGACATGTTTTTTAAAAGTTGATCTTGAATTAATTTCACATGGCTTTCTAAACATGCCGCTATCTTGTGCGAGACGCGAGTGCAACGCTGATAGATGTCCCTCTAGAAAATTAGATAAATATGCTTGGTTTCAGTTTTGATGTAAACAACATGTTCTCCACACTAATGTTCACCTTTTCCGCAATGTACTGAATGAACAACGTAGCAGCACCGCATCCAGTGGATTCAACTGGATAGGCTAACAAAACCATTCAAATGCAGTCAATGACACATACATCGTCATCGCATCTCGTGCGCCACTGATAAGGCTGCCTGACGGCTGACGCAGACCTAAAATTTGAATGCAAGGTTTTTGCATTCGAATGTGGATTTGTTTGTTTTTTTATTCTACGAATATTCAAAATTCAAATTTTTTTTGACAGCCCTAGTGACCGCATCTTAATAGACATGGACTAAAAGCCACAAACTATAATTTAATTGGTTTACAGAGCTAGTGCCCATGAATAGCATTTCTGTCAGGACCACTATCGTCAAAGATGATTGAAAATTAGCATACAGTTTGGATTGGCGGTATGGTTCCATTCTGGGCAAGAACTCACTGTGCATCCATGCAGCCTAGCATGAATGAGAACAGGGAGAGCAGCGATAACCCCCCAGGATAAACAGAACAGAACCAACATAGATGTATTGCAGATATAGTTAAAGTTCAATAATTTTATGTACACATTTTAGAATTTGTCTGATTCAAAGGACAATCAGAAGGCTGAATCCCGACTGACAGAGGAGGAGTTGGGGATGGAGGAGGGTAATTAGCTATTGAGCAATGCGAAAACTGTTGATAATACTGAGGGACCTTATATATGAATGCTTAGATAAGTGTTGTATTCCCATAGGTAGATGGGGATCAGCTGAGAGTCAGCTGATGCAAGCTTGACTAACGTGACCTGCAAGAAATAACGCTTACGCTTGATTTCAGATCAGTCACTTCCAATGTTCATTTCAGTTACAATGCTGTCTTAGTAGGTAGCTGCTGACAACAAGGGCAGCTCACTAGATTTTGGAACAAAGCAAGAGGCATCTCGAGCCACATAAAATATTATTGTTTAAACAAGATTAAAGTCTTCCCTACTTAACAGCCATCTGTATTTGAGAACTCTAAAGCCAAACGCACTGGTAAATGGTCATAAGGCTGAAACAATTACCAAAATCAAATTAGAAATCAGATGTTTCATAGCAATGTAGGCCATACATTTAATTGAGGTGGGAATTGTGTATACGAATGCTCTTTTTTTTTTGGATCATCAGTCTCCCGGGTTGTTTGAAAGGTTGCAGGAATGTCAATGGAATTACATGAATTTCCATTGCTTGCTGCACATGCAGACACCATCAGTGAAATAAAGATCAATCTAAGATCTTTATTAGGAGCGCTAAGCATCAGTAGAGCCAGTGTTAGCCATTTTACCAATGATGTTGACTGTTTATTGCAATGGCACAGGATCCCCTCCACATCTACCCTCATGAGCCTTCATTCAAAAGTCGCTGGGAACTGCAGAGATTGAGTCATAGATGTGACGGATTCATTCCAAACATGGTCACATAGATGCAGATATTGCAGAATCATTCTCTGCATGTCTGCATGGATATAGATGTAGAGGACTCATGTGTCCATGTGTGCACATAGATATATATTCCCCTAAGTTTAGCAGAGAGGCGCCTGAATAGCGCTGTCAGAGTGAAAAACAAGCTCCACATGCTCAGTTATATTAAAGATACATGCTGCGTGTGTTGACGTGCATGAGAAGTTATATTAAAGATACATGCATCCTCCTGCTGACGTGCATGAGAAACACTCTGTGTAAATCCACCTTCACATGTCTTTGAAAAAAATCACTTCACACCCACATGTAAGCAGATTTTAGTTATGGATGTTTAAGCAAAAACAAAAATATAACATCGATTTTGTCACAATTCTGTTTACGTTCTTGTAGCTCATCTGGTAAAGCATGACACCTGCAACTCAAAGGTCATGGGTTCGATTCCCACGTCAGTTAAGTCAATAATGTTATGTCATGGTGCATTCAGACACAATCAAAACCAGCAGGACGTTTCTTAGCACTTAAGTCGCTGTTTTTAGTTTCGTTGACGGGGGAGGTGAGAGGTCCTTGCACGCTATTAGTCATTAATGATATGGTGGGTGCAGATTGATGGCAGGCAGTCATGTTTGTCTCTCTCTCCAGCACTCTGAAGAGCAAGGAGCTCTCTCCTGTGATTGGCCACAAGTCTGTGCAGCCGTCAGGAGCAACAGTGCCCCCTGTCAGCGGTCAGCAGAGCAACAGCCAGTCTCCTCACTCTGCCGAGCACAGCCCCCACACCTTACACAAAGGTTAGTCCCACTGGGATTCCTCTTTAATTCTGTTTTTTTTTTTATTCAATCTACAGTTAAACTGTTAAACCTCTTTAAATCTGGTATAATGTCTGTCTTGGGTGATCAGATCAGTATGCATCTGGTTATAACACGTGTTTCTGATTCTGTCAAGGTGATTTTTGTGACACATCACACTCTAAAAAATGCTGGGTTAAATACAACCCAGTGCTGGGTAAAATAGGGACAAAGCCAGCAATTGGGTTGTTTTGACCCAGTGGTTGGGTTACTACCCAGAAGGTTGGGTTAAACATTTAACCCAACCGCTGGGTCAAAACAGCTCAATTGCTGGGTTTGTCCCTATTTTGTCCCAGCATTGGGTTGTATTTAACCCAGCATTTTTTAGAGTGCACTTACTACATCGGTATGTGCTTTGTAATTCTTTGTATTGTACTGTGAAGCATTGTGCATGTGGATATAGGTGGACTTTTTTACAAATTTTACAATGGGATGGTTATTTTAGTTAGTAAAATGATTGTTTTGCTACAATGATTAGTGTTATATTGTTAGGTAGTTGCATTAGAAAAGCAATATAGGTACAGTGACTTGAATGTACCTCCTCTATGATGAGCATGTTTTTAAAGTGCCCCTATTATGCCATTTTTAAGTCAAGTCAAATCACCTTTATTTATATAGCGCTTTTAACAATACAGATTGTGTCAAAGCAACTGAACAGCATTAATTAGGAAAATAGTGTGTCAATAATGCAAAATGACAATAGTCAACACTCATTTTTCAGTTAAAGACAGTTCATCATTCAATTCAGTGATGTCATCATCCAGCTCAGTTCAGTTGAAATAGTATCTTTGCAATCATTTGCAATCAAGTCAACGATATCGCTGGAAATGAAGTGTCCCCAGCTAAGCAAGCCAGAGGCGACAGCGGCAAGGAACAAAAACTCCATTGGTGACAGAATGGAGAAAAAACCTTGGGAGAAACCAGGCTAAGTCGGGGGACCAGTTCTCCTCTGGCCAGACGAAACCAGCAGTTCAATTCCAGGCTGCAGCAAAGTCACATTGAGCAGAGGACTCATCTGGTTCCTGTGGTCTTGTCCCAGTGGTCGTCTGAGACAAGGTCTTTACAGGGGATCTGTATCTGGGGCTCATCTAGTTGTCCTGGTCTCCGCTGTCTTTCAGGGCTGTGGAGGTCCTCTCTAGGTGCTGATCCACCATCTGGTCTGAATACGTACTGGATCCGGGTGACTGCAGTGACCATCTGATCTGGATATAGACTTGATCTGGTAGCTACGGTGACCTCGGAATAAGAGAGAAACAGATTAATAGTAGCGTAGATGCCATTCTTCTAACAATGTAGCAAGTACATTGGGTGTTATGAGAAGTGTTCCCGGTTCCGGTTAACCTAATTAATGCAGCCTAAAAATTCTTTAACAGGTTTGAATATTAGAAGCATATTAGTGTGTTATGTGTAAGCCAGGTTAAAGAGATGGGTCTTTAATCTAGATTTAAACTGCAAGAGTGTGTCTGCCTCCCGAACAATGTTAGGTAGGTTATTCCAGAGTTTGGTCGCAAAATGGTCAAGTCAAGTTTATTTGTACAGCGCTTTTCACCATACAAATCATTGCAAAGCAACTTTACAGCCAATTAAGTTTCTACAATATTTAGTGGTAGTTTATCAGTGGTGACTGTCAGTTAATGTACATATGGCAGAAATGTACGGAAAAATCAATTTAAGATGTAATAAAACAGACGATGAGCACTATTAACAGCAATTATTATATGATGCAATCAAACTTATAGCAAAATGTGGTAGTTCTGTGTGTTGTTTCATTTTTAAGCTTCCTAATATTGTTTAGGGAGTCACCCAAATAAAAAAACAAGGACAAAAATGCTTTAGTTTTCTCAAAATATGCATTTGAAATCACCTCATTTTCCAACGATTCTTAAACGATTCATTCAAAGCAGTTCTAAGATTCAGTCTCTCTAAGCCCCTCCTTTCCCCTCCTTTTCTTTTTGAGAGACAATAACTTTATTTATCATGCACTTTCGGCTTTACAACTTTTCAGATTGTTTACATTCACATGCAGCTACATTATACACTGCATGAAAGGCAATATTCGAAATGGCATAATAGGGGAACTTTAATATCTCAATTCAATTTCATTTGATGTGTTTTGGGGGCCATAAATTAAAAAACAAAGTCAGGGTGATATAACTGTCTTGATATAATGAAGAAAAATGCCTCATTAAAATAATGCAATTCTTGAAAGAAAACCTTATTAGTTTGAAAAAAAAATTATAATTCTTGGAAAAAGAGTATTTTTAACAAAACTAAAAAATAAATAAAAATACAAATAAATTTTATTTATTTAAGGAAAATGATTTAAGATATCAAGTCTTGTTTTCTGAAAAATTTATCAATATTAAATAAATTGATGTGTAAAACAAAAATAAATACCTGTCAGAGGGTTAAGAAAAACAAACTGAATTCAAAGAGAAAACAAGATGATTTTTCATACCCCACCGACAGATATTTTTTCTTGTTTTAAGCATAAGCTCAATTAAAGGCAGGGTATGTGATTTTTCAAAAACACTTTAGAAAACTGATTCGGGCCGAATAGCAAAACAAACTTGTAGCCAATCAGCAATAAGGGGCGTGTCTACTCGTCTCGTGATGTGGAGGAGAGAGCTTTCAGTGCATGGGACAGACATTAGCTGAGCCGAGCGACAGAAAGATAGAGATGGCTGATAAAAAACAAAAGAGGAAAACGTCTGTGGAACGATAAGGCAAGAAGTAGGACCCGTGTAAATATCGGATCAGCTTTCCAGCGCTGGAGAGAACTCAAGGAGCGGAGGCCTGCGATCGGATGCTGAGGTTGCTTTGTTTCATCTCAATAGGTGAGTAACACCGTGTCTACAACAGCTAAAGTCTGCCTACACTGGATGCGATCAAACAACCATTAAAAACCATTTGAAATTTGCACGTAATTTCTAGAATAAATAGAACCCGGCAGCAGTTTTCTGTCGGGGATTTGTTGCACTGCGCCGCTCACGTCCGTAGACACGGTGTAACATTGGTTTTGCTTTGTTTCACAGAACTAATCGTTGCCTGGGTAGCATACGTATATGGGGGGGCGGAGCTATCAAAATCGGGGCAAGACCCTTTTGGGGTAGGGGCGTGTTTGTTTTGGTGATTTCAAATGTCAACATTGGCTACCAGAAATCCCTGACTCTGCCTTTAATACACTACAATTAAAACAATTGTTGATACATTTTTTCAGTAAACAATACTTAATATCAAAAGTCATACTGAAGAAAATCTTTTTTTTCCAGTGTTCAGGTTGTAAAATGTCTCTCCCAAAACCTAATTATATACATGATGTAACAATTCATTTAATATAAAAAAATACTTATTTCTTTTGAAGTGTATATTTAAAAACAAATTAAAAAAAATAATAATGATTTAGATGTGCACACTCACATGCATTCAAGGTGTAAGGAAAATATTATAACATTTATCTTTAGTTTAAATTAAAGTCATTAAATGTAAAGAAATTCCCAAGATGCATTGCACCCAATTTTCACCTTAACACTTTCTATCTGTGATCTGATCACCCGAAACGAATGTTAATACCAGGTGTAAATAGGATCGTAGTGTAAAGGTTACTTGCATGCATTTTTGATTTTGTCTTATCTTTCTCTTCTTACAGCCTCTAAGAAACTGGCCCCTGTGCCGCCCAAGGTTCCCTATGGCCAGTCGGGGGGGATATCAGACCAATCCACAGGTCAGCCGTCTCCGGTTAGCCTGTCCCCCACTCCCCCAAGTACCCCCTCCCCATACAGTTTGGGCTGTCCCCCTGGACACGCGCCCACCTCTTCCCCTGGCCAGACCCCATTAGGGGGACCCTATATGTTGTCCTCGCCGCCCTCTCTGACTGGTACGCTCACAAAGTCCCGACCCACCCCAAAGCCCAGGCAGAGACCCAGTCTACCCCCTCCCCAGCCACCCACCGTCCCCCCTACGGCCCCCCAGCCCCTGGAGCAGGGTCTACTTGACGGATTGTCCCCCGGGGAGAGCATGTCCACAGGTAAACATGCCACAGTGGCAACATCACAAGTGGGAGTCCAGCGTCCCTCTCTCAAACTGTCTGTCTCTCCGTCCTACGCAGGCGGTGGACTTTAAGGAGCCAGACCCCCATATGAAATGTGAAGACATTTGTTTGTCTTAAATATGGAGTGCCCATAGATTCAGTTGCCTTTGAGATGTATACTATGATTATTTTTGAATCCCCAGGATTATATTTTAGCTCTACGATTTTAAGAACAAATGGAAACAAAGGGAATTCACTTTAAGCACAGGGACATACTGTATATATCTTACTTCAAAGTGAAGTGTGTAATTTTTGCACGACCAATTGAATTGTAAAAATTATGACTTTCCATACAGAGTTTCCACCGACTCTTCTGCTCCACCACAAACAGGTAGTCTTGCACCAGTTTCATGCCATTACTTGAGCCAGAAGTTGTTGGACGTGTTGGACCGCTCAAACGAAGCAAGCAGTGTTTTAAAAGTGCCACGGAGTTTACACTCTTTAGGTTGTAAAAAAAGGGTAAAAATTGGCAAGCACTCGCTGAAAATCGTTGACTGTTAGATTGGTCAGCTTTACATTGAACTTTCAGGGACTGAAGGTGCGATCATATTTATCGTGGTTCAGTGAATTTTCACAGGCGAAATCCAGTCTTTTTATAAGGATTCAGATTTCATAAAGAGCCAAGAACTTGATGAAAATCATCAACTCCAATTTTATTGATTAGCTTTACTTTCAACTTTTAGGGGTGCAGGTGCAGTCACATTTACAGACCTGCTAACCTTGGAAAAATGTTTTGTAAATGTCTACAATCAGTGTGATGGGACGGGACATGGGGGTCAGGGGTGTCATATATTCTTAGATAGCTACAATATTACCTGGAGCTCCTTGATGGCTAATGTCAAAATTGTAATTGCACAGTGTGCAAAATTCAAGATTTAATATGAAATATTTCCCAAAGGTTAGAAGGTCTGTACTCAGACACACACATCTTTGTGCTATTCCTGTTATACAGTATTTCAGAATAAAAAGTAGAGATGCAACAATACAGTTAGCCCACGGTTCAATACATACCTCGGTTTTTTTAACCACGGTTTTCAGCTTGGCACATCAGAGTATTTTTTTTATTTTAGATTTGCGATTTAAAATGCTCTTTAAAAAAAAAAACTCCAGTGCACTTTAATTAAATCTCCAGTACACTTCTGTACACTGTGGAAAAACATGGATTACCATAAGTCTACTTCAAATTAATTTTAAGAGTATTATTTTTATGGGTTGGCCATTTTTAGTGCTGTAAACATATGTAATGTCTGTTTAATTTATACTGGAAGCCAGAGGGTGCCCTCGCGCAGAAAATCCACAAATGTGTCACAGAATAGAACTCATGGTGCTCCAGAATTCATGTTAGAATTCGCCCCTCCTGAGGGTATCGCACAGCTGAAGCATAACTACAAACCGACTGCCCTAAACTCAGTGCTTTCAAAGACTATAGAAATACAAAGATGGTTCACTCCTATACTTATGAATGGGAGAAACTGCAACACGCAATATGGCGGAATATTTCCCGCCTTCTAAATGAAAGAGTCATTGTGTCACAGCAGCAGCCATTAGAAGCTCCGGTTTCCATAGAAACCTGCGGCTAGACCAGTCAGTGCACATGCACAGTCATAAGCGTGTTGGCTGGTCTAGCCTGAAAATAAGCTTTTTTTAATGCTATTTGAGCATAAGAAACAACATTCATGGGGCAGTTTATTTCAGATTTTGTTGCTGATTTGAAATATGTCATTTATTTCTGAGTTCATAGGGCAGTTTTTGAGATTTCAGGATTCCCCCATTCATTTAGATAGGACTTGGTCTTGGATGAGCTGCCCGGAGGCGTTGCAAATATGGCTGCCGAGTGAACAGACTTTCCTTGAAGGGGACTTTTTTCCCTCACTGCACCTACTTGAGAACAGAAATTGAACCATGGTAACATGGCATGTGATATGGACAGAAGCGATGGAGGCTACACAGTTCCAGGTTCAGGGGGTCCCACGTGTTTATTTCACACGTATATTGTGAGCAGTCAAGTTGCATCTCGACGAACGGACCGTATAGTGTGAGCACATAAATCCTGAGCTTTGGCTTGACATCGCATGCAATTTACTCGTACAGTGAGAGTTGGTATTTAACAAAAACTTTTGAAATCGCACAGGGTATGCCTGGCCATAATATGGATAAAAGCATGCAGCTATCTCTGTAGCTGAATAAAAAGATAGAAACGCATTGAATGATGAAACCTGAAGACAATAAACACACGAATGCAACATTATATAGCTTATCTGTGTTCATCAAGCCTTCTGTATTATGTACATTTATAATTCATTGCTAATCGACATAGCCGATTTTAGTTAGAATAGTTATGCCTCATTTTGTAATAAAAAGCTACATCAGATCACAAAAGGACGTTCTTTCATTTTGTCAGCCATCCACATTTGCAATTTGGGGATTGAACCCCGTGCTATAATTGGTCGAACTCTTCTTTTGCAGGTGCTTGAGTATTGCACGTAGACAGAGGCGTCATCAGGTTTTTGCATAGTTTAGAGTGACAAATCATACCAGCGTACTTTGAGGTCAAAATGCGTAGTTTTAATAGGAATCCAGGCGAGAGATATCCAGACATAGATTTCGCACGTTACGCGGAAAAAACTTCAAATTGTTGGGTAGCTTTGTACAAGTGTGGACGTTTTTTGGTGTACTTTGGCTGGGAGAAGCTCGAATCCAGTTGTTTCTATAGGAATCCATGCCATCAGGAATCACACATGAGGTTGAAAGCTTTTCCCACACAGATTTCGTAAGGGATTCAAATTTGTTACTGAAAAAACTAGCAAGCACTTATTAAAAATCATCAAATCCAATTTGATTTGCTAACTTCACATTCAACTTTCAGGACTGAAGGTGCAGTCACATTTACCATTGTTCAAGTTTTCTCATAAAGTTGCCCCAAACGTCAAAATATAAACAAAATGAACTTCGGTTGGTCATGTTACAAACTGCTATGTTGACCAGACTTTAAGCCACAAGTCAAAGGTCTGGCAACATGAGACTGACCTAGAATGAAGCATTTTAACATGCAAATAATTACACACTTCATCTTTAAAGTTCAGTATAAGGCCTTATTATCTTCTCAGCTTCAGTGTGAGACTGTTTCTCTAAAGTAAGGTTCTGTGGTCTTTGTATCATTCTAGTGGCCCACTGTATGGCACTGATTGTATGTTCTCTCATGTGAGGCGTGTCTGTCAGTCATTCTCCTGAACACTGATTGATGTATGACTCTTTTATCCCCTGTCATCATTGTGCACCTTGCAGCTGTGTGAGGCCAGGGACTGAGTGTGGGCTGAGTGTGAGGGGGACATTTAGGGTAAGCCAGAACCTGCTGTGACCGTGCCATAGCCTCATCTCACACCGTCTGGCCTGGTGCTGTGGCTGAATCTGGGGCCTCTACCGCAGCAATGTTCTTTGTCTCATACCGTAACACTTCCTTCTCCGGCTCTGTCATTCTCTCCCAGTCGCGGGGCTGTCCTTGGCTTCTTCATTCTGTCAGTGTAGTCTGTGCATGGTGTGAGACTGGTCTATGCATGGCTTATGGCCTTTCTTTTCCGAGCAACATCACACATTTGCCAACGTCGTCGCTTACGAAGTTCATCTCAATGCCTCCGGCCCTGACCTCACATCGTGATCCATTCCCCCTCCCAATATCTCCACCACCACGTAGGTGGGCCCAGGTAAACCCCAACCAAACTCTCTTTCAGTCGAGTCCATCTCAGGACGACAGTACAACTCTCCGCCCCCCACAGTCGTCCATCCGCATCCATCTCATTCTTACACAGGGGAGGTCATCACAATCAGATACAGTCCACAAATCCACATAGTCCACTGACAAGGTTCTTAATGTTACCACATCTTCAATTTGCACCCATCTTGTTGTCTATGTGTGGAGTATTTTGTTCATTGTGGTCAGTGTTGGGGGTAACATGTTACAAGTAACGTAATGTTATGTGCCAAGTATTTCTTGTTGAGTATCAAGTAAAGTAATGTGTTACTTTTTACATTTACTCTGCGGTACTTTTTCAAACATGTAACACATAACAGGTTTAGTGTTGTTTGGCAGGCGTTCTTCACAGGCAAAATCCAGAAATTTCAGTATGAATCCACGTGATCGGGACTTTCACATGAGGGCGAAAGATTTTCCTCAATAAATATTTCGCAATAGGTTAAAACTGAGGATTTGTCACATTTATTGGTTTTTGGTCTGGGTAATGTGTTACTTTTTACATTTACGCTGTGATAGGTAACAGCGCATATGTAACACGTAATGGTAACGGCACATAAATAATAAGTAATGTTACTTTTCTGTTAATTTTCTGATTGGAAAATTGGAAACATCTCAGATTATTAAAGGTTAAGTGTCTTTACACTGTTAAATGAAGGTTCTAAATTCTGTTATGGATAAACTGCGTAATAAAGCTACCTTAAAATCTGTAACAAGTTACAAACAGATACATGTAATGCATTGTTTCCAGCAATTGTAATTCCTGTGTAAAAACACTTATGCAGTCTTTGTGTGACTTTTAAACATCCGTTAATGCGGTTATGTTATTTGTTGCTGTGGGCAAATAATGTCGGGGACAAATACTTTTTCACAGCAAAATTACCTAAAAATATCTACAAGCCAAGCAGGAAACCACCATTCTAGAAGGCCGAGAGCCTTGGCTACTTGACGCCATACAATAGTATCACGTTACTTTCCATAAAAGGTAGCAATGTAATCGAATTAGCTACTTTTTTAGGAGCATGGTACATGTAACGCATTACTTTTTGAAGTAACAATCCCCAGTGCTGATTGTGGTGAACTGTTGATTCTATTGTTGTTACTTTCTGAAAAACTGCAATAAGCTTCATGTAGAACTTTATATTTTATATGAGCATATCAGAGATTTTGCAGGACAGGCTTCATTTCCTCCCCAATAGCTCAGTGTAACAGAATCCCTGTGCAGAATGCCAGGAAAGAGTCTGATGTGCCCCTCTCCTGGTGCAACACACATTCAACACCCTTCGCTGACTTTGCCTCTAACAGTGGTCTGGGAACTGAAATTGCTTTTTGCTTTCTCTCTCCTTGTGTCGTTTTCAACATCCTCATCATCGCCATTTCCATCATTTCTCTCTGTACTGTAAACTTGTCTTGTCGCTTCACTTTCGTGGCCATCGCTCTCATTTCCCATGATCCTGTAGCAGATTTCTTCAGTTTGGAAATTCCCTCCATCAACGTCAATCTGGACAGCCTGTTGGACGAGTTCAGGGTGGTCCCATGCCGGAGCTCCTTTGCTGCGGTCAGCTCTCCAGAGGAGGATGGCCAAAGCACCACGCTATGACCCCTGAGCCCACCCAGCAGCATCCCAGCTTCACATAGAACCCATCCACTCCTGCTGAGGCCCAACTGGAACCTCACCTTGACCAAACCCAGAATCACGGATACTACATGAGAGACTCGATAAGACGCCAACCACACAACAGGTGCCACAAAAAAAATAAATAATTGGATTTCGTTCAAATTGGCACTGGAGGAACCTGGAGTTTTGTGTTACGATTCCTGTTTCTCTGTGAACGATTCTGTCTGTTTCTTTTTTGTTGTCATGTTGTTGGTTTTGTTTGATTGGGATGTTTTTATTTCTGCCTTATTAGAGCTGCAATTACAATACAATGCACATAGGGAGTCATCTGCTGACTCTAAAGGAACCTCATACACTTTGTCTTGCTGGAGGCTTTGAACTGAGACGCACCCTCATGGTATGAGAGTAGGCCGTCTTTGTTTGTTACAGGGTCCATGCCATGCTCTTTATAGATGACTTGGTGGCATATAGCATGACTAATTTTGCAATGCTGAGGTCTTCTTTCTTTCTTTTTTTCTTTCTCAATCTCTCTAACCTACACTAATCACTGCTTTAGCAATCCAATCCAGTTGACCTTTCGCTAAATCCCGCCTTTAAAGTGCTACTGACCAATCCGGCCTGTTGCCGCCCATTATATTATTAGACAAGTGCTTATTTCTAATGTGAATTTCTAGTTTTTTTAAATAATTTCGCAAAATTACATTTAAAACTATCTGAGAATAAATTAAAGTAGAGCACAGCAATAGCATGGCAAAGGTCATGGGTTTGAGTCCCAGGGAGCGCAATAAAATGTAAATGTGGCCTAATGGTTAGAGAGTCTGACTTGTAATCCAAAGGACGCGGGTTAGAGTCTCAGGTCCGGCAGGGATTGTCGGTGGGGGGAGTGAATGACCAGCACTCTCTTCACCCTCAATACCACGACTGAGTTGAGACCCTTGAGCAAGGCACCGAACCCCCAACTGCTCCCCGGGCGCCGCAGCAATATGGCTGCCCACTGCTTCGGGTGTGTGTTCACAGTGTGTGTGTGTGTTTGTTCACTTCTCACTGCTGTGTGTGTGAACGTGGATGGGTGAAATGCAGAGCACAAATTCCAAGTATGGGTCACCATATGTGTCCACACATCACGTCCTTTCCTTTTCCAAAGTTGGGAAGTGCATGTGGTGAATTGAATAATGTGTCCTGAACATGTAGAACAGTAAACTGAAATGTCCAATTCATTCCTAAGGGGGATACAGTTGAGTTTGTCTGAGTGAGCGGGGCTTAGCAGATAGTTAAGAGAGTTTTGATTGATATGTGCATTCATCTGTGGCAGAACATTATCAGAACTTTCTGAAACGCACATAATACAATAATAGAAACACAGTGACAACTGCTGTACTAAAGTGTATTTTCTTAAAGAGCCAGTACTATATAGTACAGTACATGAAAGCAAGGTAGGAAATCCAGGGTTCTCACAGTCAAATATCAGGGAATTTTAATAGCGTCATGGAAAATGTTTAAATCCCTCTATAACAAATCACGGAATTTTCTATAGTCTGTATATTTTTTCAGTTCTGAAGTGTTTCTTCTTCGTGAGAATTTGCGATCTCTATTAAATGATATTTCAAAATCCTTATCCTGGAAAACCGTTAATGGGAATGCATTGGTCAGAAGGTGTGGGAACCCTGGAAATCGAGGTCACTTCAAACACTTTTCTGCAAATGCATCATAAATTACTTTTGGCAGCCACTACTGAGATCAACCACTGGTTCTGTTCTGATGCACTGCCTTGCATTCTCTGTTGTCTTTCCGCACTCATATGCCCTCCAAAGTGCTTCGAACGCAGTGCCACACTATCCCTTCTGTATATACCAATACTGTATATAAAGATGTGTAGATAAGTGTCAACGAGAGGACAAATGTAAAGGCAAATATGAATTATATATTCATAAATGTGACATGCCATATTTATCTTGTATAGGAATAATGTTCTAAGTATTATTTTGTCAGGTTCACATAGCAAGCGAGTTTTTTGCACTTTTGTAAGCCATGAACTAGATGTAGAAATATGAATGCAGACCTGGCAGAAGTTTAGGTAGAGTTATTCCCAAGAGAGATTTTATCCCTAAACCGACCTCATCAATAACAGCCTTAATCAACAGCATAAATCAACAACACAAACTGTATAGCTACTTATTATTATTATTAGAAAATAAATGAAGTCGTCGACAGATTACTCTAATTGTACAACATCGGTTCAGTCGTGGTATTGTATAGAAACTGGTAGATTATATAAATGAAAATACAGTGGCCCCAAAAAGTTGTGATGTGTGGAATCTGCAAAATAACGATATTAGATCTTCTCTCAGAACTAACTAACCTACCTTTCAATTACTTTTAGTCAACTGCTGTGGCAGTGATTTTTAGTGGATGTATGAGGTTATTTCCTCACTGATGTCATTCATCACATGAACTATCAACATGTGTCCACATACTTTTTAGGCCCACTGTATAGCATATGAAATCAATGAAAAAAATACAGATTTTATAACTTGGCAGGGATCCTTGCGAAATGTCGTCTCAAAGATATCAGGCCCTAAAGATCCTTTAAAAAGTCTCATTGCTTTTCCCCAGACACATTATCTGATGCCACACTGAGATGGCACACGTCTGGCCATTTGTTTCATGGGTAGACAACACTACGAGACTACTGGATGCTGCAATTTCTCTTATCTGAACTTGTACAAAAAGCGCAGGACTTTATTAAGGTCAAATAAACATTAGCTCACTTCTGTCCCGTGGAAGGAATGGGCACAACGAACCGCCTCCGTTCTCATACGAAGTACTCTCTTTCCAACGGTGGATAGCCATGGCTTGATTTTCTCTCTTTGAATAAGCATTAGTGTACGTCAGGGACAATTTTTTTTTTTTTGCTGAAATCTGTGATATGCCTCAGTGTGTGTTCTTGATGAAATATAGTCTAATGATTATTGGTGACTGAGTTATAGTTGTAGTGATTACACAATGATAATTGCAAGTTGCCTCACATTCAGTATTTATAACCTGACGCTAACGGCGAGTTTCGTGCGTACGTGAGGTTCTGTCTGTGCCGTTTCCCGCGGTGTTTTGTGAGGAGGCAGTTGTGTCTGTTCGAGTGTGCTGACTGAATGTGATTTCGCCTTTACTTTGAAGTGCACTAGAGTAAAGGCCTCGATACCTTATAGCAGCTGCAATAGACGCATGGTTTATTTTCTTTATAAGCGTGACACTTTTGCTCATCTCTCTCTGTTAGCGCTCATAATGAATGCTTATGTTATTGTTAATGAAGAAGTGGGAGGGTTTATACAGTATGTACATGCATTTTCATTCTGGTTCAATTCTGCAAGGTGAAAATGCACAGGTATATGTTATCTTAATGTGATTTGTAAATGAAGGTAATCAGATTCATGTCATAATTTACAGGTGACGGTGTTTAGCATTTATATCCTGTAATTTAAATGTTCAAGAAATTGTTCAAAACTGAATGGATGTAATAGCCATGATGGAATTTTTTTTAAACCTGATGAATTGTACAGACGTAATTTTAACTGATGATTTGACCCACACAGAAACTGCACAGGTCATGTGTCACCCCAAAATCAGAAGAAACAGTTAAGAAATTATACTTTAATTAAAGATCAAGAAGCTTGTATTATTTAAAATTATTAAATCAAACGATTTTCATGATGATTAAGCACAATATCATTCCCAAATGTCATTAAAACGATCAAAAATTTCTGTAATGTGAAAAAATATATATTTAAGATGTGCTTGTACTAGTATGTGTAGTACTTCACTGATGTGGAATTTATTTTTATTTTTTTTAATATAATATTAATTTTTAATGTAATGCCACAATGCAAAATATATATATATATATATATATATATATATATATATGTATCTTGATAGTCATAAAAATTTTAATTTTATATATTTTTTCTTTTGTTTTTGGAGTGAGATGCACTG